AAAAATTTAGAAATTATAGTCTTTTATTTTTCTTCACTTTTGAAAATTGCTTTACATTTAAATTTCTCTCACCCACTACCTTTTCACATTTCTTCTGCTAACATTTTCTCCATATCTTTTTCTTAGTTTTACCATTATTGGTGCATACCAATATTTTTGTCCGATTCACCTCAACAGTACATTAGATTTAAATAAAATTAATTAGCAACTTGTATTATTTGGTAACAAAACAAAACTTATGCAGATGAAAAACTTGAAGTCTAGATAAAAAAAAAAAATAACACATTCCGCATTTCCCAAGAAACTGAAGCTTTCTCTATCTCTATCTGCCACATGTCATAAGTCTTAAATTCTACTATTTTATGTTTTTTCATTTTCAAAAACTTCTTTAACTCTAAATGAATAAAAATATAAAACAATTAATTTTTTCTTTAACACTATATTTTTCACGTTCTTTCTATTAACCATCTTTTTCTTTAATTTACCATTCACCAATATTTATCATTCGATTCGTCGCAACACATACTAAATTTTGTTGACCATAGATATTTTAATCCTCTTATAATATTTTTATAATAAAGCAATAATCACTTCCCAAAAAATTGCACCTTTCTGCATGGCATTTGCCATGTGTCATAAGTTTTAAGCTTTTACTCTTTAATTCTAGGAATAAAAAAAAAGATATTTACCATGGACAACGCAGAGTTTGTTGGATTTACGGTTCGTGAATGTCTCCATTGCTTTTGATTGCCGGGCTATTCAAGAAGCCTTATCAAAACAATGGGAATGGCCACGGTACCGTATCTTCCTTGATCATATATGTCGACTCAAAACAAGGTTTGAGCGTTGTTCTTTTGAGTTGGAGTCGCCGAGGGCGAGCCGCATTGCTCGTGAGATAGCCAAGAGTGTAACAAGAGATGGAAGATTCAATTTTTATCTTGCTTTGGGGGGTCCGTCCTGGTTACATCAGTTACTTGCGAGTGAAGGTTGTATGTAGCATCCTAAGTCCCCTTGTCATTGGGTACGATGCTGTGTTTTTTAGGCTTTGTTGCTTTGTTCTTGCTTCTTCTCATCTTTCGGGATTTCACATTTTTCAATCAAATTCTAGACGTTCC